GAAGAAAGCAATCACAGAATAAAATCTCAGAAAAGAAGTTAAAAAGAAAACGACACAGTAGGAGTTTATGTAGTAAACAAGTGACTGGAGTTGCTCTAAGGTCATTAGGTTCCGCCTGGTAAGAATGAGATCCGTATTGTCCCGATTCATACGCCTAAGCTATTTAGACACTAGCATTCATAGATCATATATATCAAAAGAAAAAAGAGGATAAATAGATCATACACATAAAAAGAGAAAAAAGGATAACGAAGTAGCGTCTGGAAATGTCATAATAGATCATATATATCAAAAGAAAAAAGAAAAAAAAGAGGACAACAAAGTAGAGTCTGGAAATTAGGAAGGAGGGAAGGACAAACCATGGGGTAAGGAACAGCAGGATGTTCAACAAGGGAACAAATCTAGAGGGGAGGAACCACAGAGCATCCCAGGGGTTTACCTGGGGGAAGCGTTTGAGGGTCTTTGTTGCAAGATTGTACACACAGATGTCGAGGCATGTATGTTTATTGCTGCGGACACGGTCATCACGGGTGAAATAGATGGAGTTTGGCTNGATACCAAGGGTTTGGTCAGCAGGCACGATGATACCCGAATCCAGAAAAAGGGCCTCATCACCTAGAGAATCCACCTCAGAAAGGTTGAAGTCGAGATTCGGGTCTAGAGTAGGATCCCTCTTGGAGAGACGGAAGATCCTACGCCTTGTAGAGGTTGCGTCCTCGTAAACAAGGATATCGACCATCAAAACTTCTCCTGATCTTGTGACAGCAATCTTGACACTTTGTGAGATGATCTTAATTGCTTGCTGTCTTTCAGTGAGAAGTGGCTGATACATTGGAACCATGTAGGAGACATCCTTGAAACCGTCTTGTCCAGACAAATCAAGGGTTCGAATGTAACTGCGGGGGGTAAGGATGTAAATAATCTCTCCTTTGAGTACCATATCATCCAAGCCTACTAACTGCCAGCGAATAATTTTCCTGTCAATACCGGGGTATGTTGGAGTGCCAAGGTGATGATCATACCCGTTCTTGCAAAACCCTATATAATGGCTACTGTCGAAGCGCCACACAACAACGTACTCTAACTCTTCTTTGTCCTCGTCTACCCACAAAACACCTCTCAGATCTTCCGCAGTTCGAAGTCCACAATAAGGACTACCAAAATCATCTTGAATACATATTTTCTCCATCAATTCCTTATCTTTCCCTTTTACTCTCTCAAGGCTATAAGTGGCACCTTTGTCGATCGACTCTAGAGGTGGAAGAAGGATCTTCTTCTCGCTAAACAAATCTATAAAGAGAGATTCAATTCAGGATCTACCACAAGGAACCACTTACCAGAGTTTGCCAGGAATCGAAACCCTGTAAAGTCACGCTCCATATTGTAAACCTTATCTTCGTCTGGGTTGTACATCACGCAATCATCATCCTCTGGAAACAAAATCAGCGATGGAGATCTGATTTTTGGTCGCACCGTAGAATTCAAAATCGAACGATGAGATCTAACATTTCGAAGATCCTCACTACTCCCCCGTCGTTTTATGCTAGGGTTCTTCATCATCGCGACGGAGGTTCTCTCGTCTGTTGCGGCGATTAAGGGAGGAGGCGTGAAGATCTCTTTTTTTTTAATAGATATACTCACAGTTATGGTTTTTTCCTCGGGCTACGAAGCCCAATAACCGTGACAAAAAGATTGACGGGCTTGTAACCCAATATAACGGGTTTTCCATTTAAATCAAACTACGTTAGGTCTTGCGCTTTACAGGGCTGAATAATGTTTGTAAAATAGTTTATCTAAAATCAATTTAAATTATGATTAATATATAACTAGATTAAAAAGCAATTCTTGGAAAAATATTGGTTAATGAGAATCAATAAATTAGATTTTGAGTGTTTGGTAAGATATTTTAGTGACCGGGTGGAAAAGAAGTTAGTTATATAGTAGTTACCAATATTTGGTATTTAATGTACTAGGTGAGTATCCGTGAAAACTGAAAATAATTTTATTGTATTTAGCTAAATTTTCAGTCTCAAATACTGAAGTTGAAGAATTATAATTTCTAGTTATAATTAAACATACTTCATAGTGTTTTTATGGTCATTTGACATTCATGGAAAACATATCTCAACTAATTGTTGTTATCTTTGATTTTATAATAATAATTTTTTTGAATGGACACTATAAAAGTAGAATAGAATTGTTTAAAGTTTGTATCATTTGTTGTTGTCTTTCTCATTTACTCCCAAGAAATACATGAGAACATGTACGCCATTGGCGTCAAATCTACTTGAAAGTTGAAAGATATACAGAGAAAATATAAAAACAAAACTATTAATCTATTACATCAACATTGAAATATATTTGTGTTTTGCCAAACTTCATTGGTCACTGTGAAGTCTACTCTTTTCATGGAGTTCTTGCCAATTACAGTTGAATCCTATTCTGAAGTTTGTTATTAACTTTTACAAGTATTTATTTTACTGATGTGCTTTATTTCTTTGCGTGATTATGTCTATTACCATTTGCTTAATTTGCATCACTTCACTTGCTCTGTTTTAGTATAGTTTTAGGCTATTTGTATTAACGTATAGTGTAAAGGAATATATTTTCCTTCCTACTTGTCTCTTACCCTAACCAAGTCCGAGCGATAGCTGCATTAATTTACTCCTCTTCCAAGTCTTTCGTTACAACAAACCGATCAAGAACTGTGATATTCCACAACCATTGTTTTGGGCATTGAATAATGTTTGTGATGAACTTGTTCACATCTAATTAAGACTCTTGAGAGAATAAATATCTAGATTTTTCGCTCATTTATCGTCTCTAATATCTTTAGCTTTATTCTCGAAAGTGTCAATCTCGATTTATCCGACTTGAACAGATGCAGGCACCAATTGCTACCAAGATTTGGCAACACGTGACCCTTGAAGGAAGATCAAAACCTTTGGATATGCCAACTGAGACACTTTCTCTCACGACCTTCAAACTTTGTTGTGGACAACAGTTGTAGACAAATCTGACACTTGCGCCAAAGTGAAATACACGAAGAACCTCACAGTAACTAAATAACAAAATTATTCTCCAGGATCATAAACCCGACATCTCTGTCCATATGAAATATTTCAATAACCACACGTTTTCATTCAACGATCACAAAAGAACGTAGCAGTAATATAATTTCGAGCATCCATCTAAGTCTTTATTACAAAAGTCTTAACAATACTTATTAATTCAGAACTTCTTTAACTAACAATACCAGAACTCCCTGTCGATGATACCAACAATGAGAATAAAAGAATGATCCGAAAGGTAATCAAAGCAAAAAACATGGTTGGGGAACTGCTTTCTCAAATTTGGGATGCTACTTAAGGCTTGCTTGGGGAAGACAGAAGCACTTGGCTCCCTACTGATCTCCACATGATGAATAAGTCCATTTGATTTAAGTACACTGAATGAACACCTACAAGGAAATTATCATTGGGATAGACTACCGGTCAAAATTTCATATCACCAGTAGGGCTTAAGCAAACAAGCATATCTGGCACATTAGGGTCCCAGTACCTCTTAAATAACATATAGGGACCAGCGGAAACGTACAATTGCAGACCATGGTCCTCCTCCATCAGTCCTAACACTGATGAAGAAACCTTCAAATTTCTTTTTTTGATTTGATTTATTTCGTCGCCATTAGCTTTTATGAAAAAGAGGGTCTCACTATCATCCACAAGACCAAGAACATCTTGATTTTGAGACCATATTCCAGAAGTACATGATCCTGATATGCCGGCGGATGCGGAGAACATAAGTTTGAAGACCGTAGTGAGTGCATGGAAAGGACCATGAGTT